TTTCCTCATCTGTAAGTGGGGAGACGAATTGAGCTCTGTCTTCCTTCCTGGAGTTCACCAAGGGCCAGGTGACCTCTGTGATGTGCTTTGCGAACTGTAAAGTGTGAGTCATGTGCAGGAGACCTTTGGGGAAACTTCCCTCCAACAGAGGCTGGTATTTGGTGCTGGTCATTAATCTCAGATAGTCAGAGGACGGCAGCTTTGAACTACATGGGACTGGACATCCATCCCAGAGTTTGGAAGAGGCAGAGTTGGGAGTGGGATTTGTGCTCTCTGACCCCAAAGTCCATATTTAAGGTCCCTTGAGGGTTTAGATCTGCTTTCAGTTTTCAGCCAACCAACTAACAGACCAACTAGTGAACAACCATCTGCCTAACCAGTGATAACCAACCAATAGCCAACCAACTAATGAACTAATGAACAATTTACCCAGCCAATAACCAACCAATAGTCAATCAACCAACGATCAATCAGTTAGTCAACAAGTATTCACTAACCAACCAACTATGGATGTTACTATTAGCCATTCACTCAGTACTGACTCTGGAGGGGGGACATACAGTTTCTACCCCTGGAAACTGCTGGTCTGAGGGACAGTGAGACTGGTTGCCCTGTTTGCCGCACCACATTCCAGTCCCATACCCACTGTCTGTGTCAAGTGGCTGCAACTTCTGTGGGGTGGGAGTCACCCCTGGGTGTCTTCCTACCTCCAGTGCCCAACAGCGTGGCACAGGGTTGTCAGGGATGGAGGGGGCTCAGTGTCACACTCGCACACACTCCCTCTCAGACACACTCTTATGCTCACACACACCCTCACACACTCATGCTCTCACTCACATACACACACTCACACCCTCACACTCCCTTTTGTGTACTCATGCTGTCACGTACAACCCTCACACACACAGACTAACACTCTCACATTCTCATGGACACATGCACACACGTGCATCCATTCTCACACATGTGCAGTCATGCACACTCACAGACATGTGCTCATACACACTTGCCTCATACACACGCATACATTCGTGTGCACTCTAACACACATGCATGCATGAACACACATACTCATGCACACTCAGACATGTGCTCATACACACACATACATTCGTGTGTACTCTACCACACATACATGCATGAACATACACTCTCATGCACACTTGTCTCATACACACTCTCACACAGAGTCCCACACACACTCATACACTCACTTGCACACACACTTATACACTTATGCTCACACACACACTCACACTCACCTTCACATACACAAACCCTTTCCTCCTTCCTGCCATGAGCACAAGGCACAACACAGTTAACGTGGAGTGAATGGAGGAGCCAGGGGACTTTCAGAGCCCTAATCAGAAGTGCTGCGGTGGTCAGACCCACCTCAGGCTGTGTGGTGGACGGCGGGTTAGCACACAGCCCACCTCAGGCCAAGTGGTGGACGGCAGGTTAGCACACAGCCCACCTCAGGTCATGTGGTGGACGGCAGGTTAGCACACAGCCCACCTCAGGCC